TCAATGATTGCAGCCCCTCCAATGTGAGCCCAGGAAACTCAGGACTGAAAAGGATGCCTGCCATCTAGCAGCCATCAGACTGCAGCCACTCCCTGCGGTGAGCCCTGAGGAAACTCAGGATGTTTCAAGATACTGGCCCTAGATGGCTGAGGTGCATATTCAAAGGGATGATTTCAGTGAGCCAAGACTCTTGCATCTTACCATACGTAGAAAAGCGCTAAATTCCTTAACTTGAGTATTAGATAGACCCTTCCAACATCCTATTCGGTTGGCTGCTTTCATGTGATACAGCATAGAATTGAATCAATGAAATCTTTCATCCTACTTCCCACTGTTCCATTTCCTTCACCATTAAAAGAGTTCTTCGATTCCATGCAATGGCATATGTGATCTCGTTTTGGTAAAGCAGGCATTCTGAGAGTGCTTGAATAGTGGAGCTGGCAGAGGCATTGATGTCAAGAAAAGCAAATTCTTGTCTGTAGTATGAGCAATTCTGCTAAAGACGGGTTACCAACTCCTCTAGAGCAGAGGGTCCTATGTAATCAGCAATGCTTTTAATTAATCCCAGGGCCTGGCTTTCAGCAAAGTGGACCTTTTGGCCCCAGATATGAGCTTTTTTAATGTTGTCAAGTAGACCCTTTCACTTTCACATCTTGCCTTCATTTGTCCCTGAGAGCTGTGGTAGAATCATGTGTGCTAAGGGGATGTGGCATGGGGTAGAAAAGGGTTTGTCACAGTCACTTGGCAAAATATTCAAACTCGTATTGTGGCGCAGAAACCCCAACCCCTATGATCTAGCCTTGTCCTCTTCTCAGATCCCACCAGAGACTCCACTGGAAGCTCAGCTTCATGTGGGAAAGGATTTGGTCAGTGTTGTTCACTTCCATACCTTCAGTATCTGGAACACAGTATGGCCCTTGGTAAGTGCTAGAAATAGATGTGAATGAATAAATCTTATAGCCAAGCATTCCTTTGCTCGCTCTGTCCTTCCTTCTGTTCTTCCAGCTCAGAAGCTCATTCCCTCGGGGGTCTCTGCATGAGGTACCCTGCCTGAAATGCCTTCCCTCAGACCTTGGAATGGGCGGCACCTCTTCATCACTGTATGGCCACCTTCAATATCACTTTCTCAGAGAAGTGTTTTTGGTCACCTGTTTTAAAGTATCTCCTTCAATTACTTTTTAACACTTTTTTATATATTATATTTTGGTATCATTTATGATTAGCTGAAATTGTCTTGTTAATTTGTTGAGATGATCTGTTTCCTCCTACTAGAGCAGAGTGTGTCTCCTATTTACAGCTGTTTCCCTTGTACCTTGACACTGACAACAATGCAAGGTACTCAATAAATATTTTATTAAATGGTTGAAGAGCACTATTAACTTAATTCATGAGGAAATACACTTCTTGTTGGAGGGTTTTGCCTTTCTTTGAAAAACCGTGCGTTGCCCCCGTTGATTATTCTTCACCAGTTTTTTGGCAAAACTATTGAAAGTGATGCACTGTACTGTAACCCCCTGGTCCTGCTATAGAATATTTTAAAACCTAAGAACAATATGTGTACCAACCCATTCTTTCACACAGTGGCTAGTTGTATTGAGAGGGTTGTACATTTGGTCAATAACTTCCCAATTTTTTTCCCACATCTTTTCAGCTCTCTTGGATGATTGCCTTTTTGCCCTAAAAGATGGATAGACATTTAGCATAGTCATTGGTCTAGTTGGGAGGCCTTGGTATTGAACACTCCATGAAGAAGCATTTCCAACCTGCACATTGTAGAGTTCAGATTAGGGAACAATTAATCTCCATCTGTAAGCACTAAGAAGGAACTCACTTAGGCTCTCAGCCACACTTCCTTGTTCTGGAGAGAATCATCACCTCAGTCATCATGGTGTCCCACTTGGCTTTCTTCCTCTGTTTCATAATCCTTAAACCTCTTTTTTTTTTCCTCTCTCTCTCTCTTTACATTCGGAAGCCTTTTTTAAGGAACTCTGCAGTGTACCAGGAGATGGGATTTCTAGGTTATATTTAGCTGTTCACACTGTGAGGTTCTCCCTTCACACTTGGTCTAGCTTCCCGTGCATAGAAAGCTACAATAACCTTTTTCTTCTCCCAGATAGACAAGCTAATTACTTCTCTTGTTCGTCTTTATGCACAGTCTTTTCTACTCTTTTCCGTAAAATATATTTAGGTTTCTTTGGGGTTATTGCATTTTTTTCCCTTCAGTGTATTTTTCTTATTCATGTCTGCATGTTGTCATAATCACCTTTTTAAAAAATGAATAATTATATAAGATATTTTGGGGGTTTCTATATTCTTGTTTCAGAGGCTTGATTTATAAATAGCTTCTTTTTTGCTGGGCTTTTTATGAGTATCAATTTTTAAAATGTGCTTTCAACTGAAGTTGTTAAACCTATTGAAACATAGACTTTAGTTCTCTGAAGATCTAGATTTTACTTGCTGTCAATGCAACTAAACCTCAGTCTTTGCCATCCTGAGCAGCACTTAACAGTACTTAGTCTTCTGCATATATGCAAAGATTTGAGTCCCTAAGTCTTAAGACCTCATTTACTCAGTCATTCACAGTGAAGTATATATCAAATGAAATGAACCAGCTAGTTTCTAAATGTGTGCAGCTCCAGAAAGAAGCATACAGTTTTATTAGCTAAAATCATACGAGACTAAATCATACCAAAACTACATAGTAAAATCATATAAAACCGATCTTTTGAAGACAAAGGGGACTTTAACACCTACTTTTCCACACACAGATTTGTTCTGGGTCTGGTTCCAGTGAAAGCTGACTATTTCTTACGAACTCTAGACTAGTTAAGTTAGAAATGGCTTACATTGTTGATGTTGACGTTGTCCCTGTTCCAGTAGGAGTACATTGCAGAGGGCAAGGTCGGCATCAGAAATGGCGCATTTTAATGGATTTCTAAGAAGAGAAACAGTTGTAGATATTCACTGATGCGAATAACAGTGATGTAAAGCTGGTCATTTGTTTTCTTTAATTTAAAAAAAAATTAAAATAATCCAAGGAGAGTGAAAATCAGGGTCAGTCCCTGCATGTCCAGTCTGAGCTCTATTTGAGGGCTTTCATGAATCAAATCTGCCAGTCTAAACCTGATACTTGGTTTTAAGGGTTAAGTGTACCTAAAATAATAATGTTAAAGTGATCAGACATTTTTGTATAGAATAAAAATGTCTGTTGTTAGTTCCATTCTGTCTTATTTTGGTATGGTGAAGCAGGACCAACTAAAGCAGTATTAATTTCAGTCAAATTGAATAGAATGGCAAGGCTATGAGATAAACTGGGAAACTGAACAAACAGCATCCAAATAACAGTCCTTTGAAGTGAAAATTACTAGCATCACTGCCGTAAAGTGTAATCTGCTTTCAGAAAAATAAGGCTGTTCTTTTCCTTGTGAAACAAGGAAATAAGGTTGGATATGAAACGGACAAGAGTGTGAGAAGCTGTGCAGTGGAGGGATCCAGAGGGAAGAGAACAAGCATTTCCTTTCTGGGGGAAAGTCATTTATCAGAGAATAACAACTGAGTCCTGGTACTGTAGATCAGCGGTTCCTGGACGTGTGGATTTTTTTTTCAAAACTATATTTTGAAAATTTTCAAATATACAGAAAAGTTGAAAGAATTGTACAGTGAACGTTCATATACACAGGACCTAGATTCTGCAATTAATATTTTATTGTACTTTCTTTGTTACCTAAATATCCATCTATCTATCTCTAATCACTTACCAATCTGTCTTGGTTTTGAGGCATTTTAAAGTAAATTAGAGACATGATTACACGTCATCTCTAAATACATTGCTACATAATGAACACCACTATGTAGAGTTCAATACTTGTGTATCATTTGCTTTTTTAAAGTATATATATATATTTTTTAATAGATCTTTATTGGAATATAATTGCTTCACAGCACTGTGTTAGTTTCTGTTGTACACCAAAGTGAATCAGCCATATGCAGACCTATGTCTCCATATCCCCTCCCTCTTGAGCCTCCCTCCCATCCCCCCATCCCACCCCTCTAAGTCATCGCAAGGCACCAAGCTGATCTCCCTTTGCTATGCTGCTGTTTCCCACTAGCTATTTTACATTCGGTATAGTATATATGTCAATGCTACACTCACTTTGCCCCAGCTTCCCCCTCCCACCCCGTGTCCTCAAGTCCATTCTCTATGTCTACATCTGTATTCCTGCCCTGCAACTAGGTTCATCAGTACCATTTTTTTTTTTTTTAGATTCCATGTATATGCATTAGCATACAGTATTTGTTTTTCTCTTTCTGACCTACTTCACTCTGTACGACAGACTCTAGGTCCATCCACCTCACTATAAATAACTCAATTTCATTTCTTTTTATGGCTGAGTAATATTCCATTGTATATATGTGCCACATCTTCTTTATCCATTCATCTGTCAATGGACACTTAGGTTGCTTCCATGTCCTGGCTATTGTAAATAGAGCTGCAATGAACATTGTGGTACATGACTCTTTTTGAATTATGATTTTCTCAGGGTATATGCCCAGTAGTGGGATTGCTGGGTCATATGGTAGTTCTATTTTTCGTTTTTTAAGGAACCTCCATACTGCTTTCCGTAGTAGCTGTATCAATTTACATTCCCACCAACAGTGCAGGAGGGTTCCCTTTTCACCACACCCTTTCCAGCATTTATTGTTTCTAGATGTTTTGATAATGGCCATTCTGACCGGCATGAGGTGAAACCTCATTGTAGCTTTGATTTGCATTTCTCTAATAATTAGTGATGTTGAGTGTCTTTTCATGTGCCTCTTGTCCATCTGTATGTCTTCCTTGGTGAAATGTCTATTTCGGTCTTCCGCTCATTTTTTTTTTTTTTTCATTAGGAGACTTTTATTTTAAAAGTGTCACCTTAAACTGCAAGGATGTCCATTAAACATCACAATTAAACATGCCAAAGGAGAAGGCATGTTGTCGAAATGCCCACTTAACCCACCCAAACATCTCAAACCCACCCTTTGCTGACCTTCTATAATCCCATTTTTTTAAGTTTTTTTTTTTTCTTTTTTTAAACAAGAGAAAGTAGACAGATACATGTTGGTAAATGCTAACTGTCCATATTCACATAGAGACACAGTGTAATCTCTGAGCCCAATATACAGAGAAAGGAGGAAAAAAGCTAGAATTCTATGCACTACTACACAGGGGCCTAGCACCCTCCAGCTTCCAGCAGAGCTAAGGGAGCAGAAGGTTTTTCTTTTTTCCCACAGAGCATGGTGGTGTTGATTCCATAAAGTTTTTGTTGAGACAGGAAGGGATAAAAATGAATTTGGAACAGAAAGGGGTAGAGATTCTTTTCCCACTGAATTCTGCTCAAGGTATTTCCCCCCAAAATAAGTTGTGAGCCATGGTATAAAGGAGAAAAGAGACCTCAAAAACAGGGCGACTGAGCACAAGAGGAGAAGGAGAAAAAAAAAAAAAAAAAAAAGACTGCAACTTGCTCCCAGGGACTGGAGAAAATTAACAAAGGAAGGTTGGAATCCATCAGTGTTCCATTAGTCATCTTCTCCTTCACCTTCCTCTCCTCCCTCCCCCTCATCACCTTCAGCCTCATCCCCTTCTTCATCAGTATCTTCCAGTCCTTCTTCCTCTTCATCGTCATCGTCATCTTCTTCTCCTTCCCCTTCCTCATCATCCATGTCCGGAACCAAGTAGTACTGTAATGGATTTGGCCAAATATCATCTTTGATGACCTCTCCTAACTCATCTGCACCTGCATCAGAATGATCAGTAAACCAGGTGAAGAAGCTTTCTGGGTCCTCATGCTGTCTCTTCCTGCTGGCTTTATTCTGAGTTTGACTTGAACGTTTTGTCACATCCTTTCCGGATTTCCATTTGATTTCAGGGGACTTTGAAGATGGATCACCAGTCTCATTCAGATGAAATTCTTTGGAGAGAACTTTATTTTCAAAGTAAGGGTTTTCATCAAAATGAAAATCTATTCTGTAACCTGATTTAATATCTTCAAATTCTGTCACTTCGACTCTTGTCAAATAATGCAGCGCCTCTTCGTCCTCCTCCCCAAGCAGTGCAGACACTTGTGGATGGTTAACAAATGTTGTTACCCAAAAATGTGGGGTTTTGCCGATCAATTCCGACCTCTTCTGAAAAAATGGTTGGTGGAGTTTGTTATATTTCTGTTCTACTTTGAAAATCTCCTCACTGGCTTGTTCGTTAAGTCTGTCTATTTCATTTTGTACTTCATCAATGTGTTCAATTGCTTCTTGCTGTTCCTTTTCTTCCTTCGGCAAGTTCGGAGAAGCAGACGTTTCCTCTGGCCTGGAGGCAGGAGTCCTTCTCGGTTTCTTCGGTTTCTTTGCTTGGGGTGGAAGTGAAGACTGGTGTTTGGGGGCCATGCTGGGAGAAAAGCCAAGAATCCACCCAAGGGAAGAAGCTCATACCAGGAGCTCTGAGAACTCTTCCGCTCATTTTTTAATTGGATTGTTTGGTATATCTTTCCAGAATCTTTCGTATATATATTAGGTGCCAGTACTTTGTCAGATATATGTTTTATGACTATTTTCTGACAGTCTGTAGGTTGTTAATTCATTTTCTTTATATCATCTTTTGATGAAGAGACATTTTAAATTTATTACTCTTTTATAGTTATTGCTAGAGCCTGTCAAAGAAACCTTTGCATAATCTCAAGTCATAAAATATTCTCCTATGTTTTCTCCTAGACGTTTTATAGTTGTGGCTTTTCCATTTAGATTTAGGATCCAGCTCATGTTAATTTTACTACGGTGTTAGGTATGCATACCTATATGGATATGCACTCATTCCTTTCCCCTTGGTTGACTTTGTTCATCAAAATCCAATACCCATGTATGTTTAGGTCTATTTCTGGGCTCTAGATTCAAAATAACACCATTTCTGTATAAGGACACAGTAGAGGTATCATTAGTAATACTTGACAACTTTGAGTTTTGACATGATACCCTCAATAGATTTTCCAGGACCTTTGACATAAAGATCTGGAAGTCCCAGCATAGGAGTATATTGCATAGAAAATACTTAGTTTCTAATATTATGTGTAAAAATTAATGTTACTTTTTTGTGGTAGAAATATCCCTCCACCGTCTTCATAAACTTGGTGGAAAACTTCAGACGACACATAAGCTTCTAATGTTGTTCTATAACTTACAAGCCTTTCTGCTATATTTCACTGTAATAAACATTTCAGTGTAAATACAATTTCTGAATTCCAAATGATGTCACTTTTTAAGATTTCTTTTGTTGTATAACAAAATTCCGGAGTACCAAATAGATTAGGGCGTTCCCATGCATAGCATTCACACTCTAGATATAAAAAGTGCAGGGCTTCCCTGGTGGCGCAGTGGTTGAGAGTCCGCCTGCCGATGCAGGGGACACGGGTTCGTGTCCTGGTCTGGGAAGATCCCACATGCGGCGGAGTGGCTGGGCCCGTGAGCCATGGCCGCTGAGCCTGCACGTCCGGAGCCTGTGCTCCGCAACCGGAGAGGCCACAACAGTGAGAGGCCCGCGTACCGCAAAAAAAAAAAAAAAAAAAAAAAAAAGATTGTCCACTCGAAAACTTCTTTTGATAAATACTAATTAGCAAGTTTTCTATGACCATTGTAAAATAACAACTGTTACATGTCTACTTGATTTGCCCTAGCATTTCCACAACTAGTCTTCCATACTTCAGCAACTGTCTCATCCATTTCTAAATGGGCATACTTTCTCAACCTCACATAACTTATTCATCTTTAAATGCCCTTTCACATAAATAATGTCTCTTTCATTTTCATCTTAGTTTCACATGCGTACATTCTTAAATGTTTGTCAGTCACTGAGCAGGGCTATTCTTCCAGGACAGTGGGGTTGGTTTAATTGGGATGCAAAGCTTGTAGCTGCAGAGGGCAGGCACGTGAAGCCTAATTCCAGATTTGTGGGTGCAGAGCAGATGCCGGGCACCAGGGGCAATGGTAGATTGTTGTAGAGTGGATACAAATGTGCACAGCACTCCCTCTCTTTCACTCACATTCTCCCCTAGACAGCACTATGGGACCGAACTCTGCTTTCTAAAGGCATCATGCCATGCTGTGGGGCTGCTCCAGGCGGTGCAATGTGTTATGATGCTTTTCTAGATTACTGTTCTGCTTAAAACTCATTTTTAAAAGAATGATTTCCTGACTGTTCCCATATAGTCAGTAGGAATTCTGTGCAGACGTTTTATCACTCAGATGTGGAAAGCATTACCTGTTTTTCTCTTTTCTCTGTTTCTGTTTTCTCTGGCTAAAAGTTATAGTACAAGTTATATTTTTTCCCTCTTTATACCCTGTAGTATTTATGGATTTCCAGAATGTCCCTTTGGCTTAAAATGAAGCAGCATGTGATACAGATTAGGAGCTGTAATTGTTAGGAAAATGCTATAGGGCTTTTTAGCAAGCTACACATCACATTTGATTAATGAGAAATAATGGTAGACAGCATTCTTTATAGAGAAAATGTGTTTACCATATTTCTTTCCTTAAAATAGATGTGATTTAACAGGTGAAATGTCCTATGATTCCTCTCCTTCACGCAGACATAAAATTGATAGCCTCTTCCATATGGAAAAGAGTATGACATACACAGGAAGTTAGAGACATTGACATAATTGTCTTCAAAGTACAGACAGGCCTGGCACTTTGAGAAATTTTAAGTCGGTATTCACTCTGTGAAATGATGGCACATAAATGAATAATAATATTCCCAAGGAACTGTAGTCATATGAGGAACTTTCTTTAATGTAAGTTGCTAAGATTTAGGGAGAATCATTTGTGTATTTGTTTGTTTTGTATGTTAACAAGTTTTATGTTTGCATACAAGGAAGAAGTGTCTAATGGAGATAATATATTACAAATTATGTTTCAGTTATAATGGTTGATTTAGTGAATTTTTTAAATTGAAGTATAGTTGATTTACAATGTTGTATTCTTCTGTACAGCAAAGCAACTCAGTTATACAAACATATACATTCTTTATATATACATATAATATTATATGAATACATATTTATATTCTTTTCCATTATGGTTTAAATACAATTTTATCTCTACTTAATCAAAGCTTGTCGGTTGCCTTTGAGAGGATAATATTCTGCCTGTGTTAGGCAAGCATCCGTAGATGGCACACACTGCCTTCCCAGGGCCTATTTGCTGTTGTACGCCAAGCGTCCTGGTCCAATGTCCTCATCACACTCTCCAGAGGATTGTGCTCTCACCCATTCTCTAAGGAGACCTTGTGTGCTCACATGGTCAGACGTGGCAGACTCCGTGGATAAACCTGTGAGCTTCGGTAGCGAAGTACTTGAACCTAGCCAGACTTCTCTCATACAGTCTCCTCCCTGGAGCCTGGGAAAAGAACTAATGCTGGAGTAATGTATACTCCCTCAAAGTTGAATTGGGTGGGTCGAGAGCCACCCTGCCCTCTCTACTGGAGGGATTCCGATACTCATTCTTGGGAGAGCTCTTCCTTAGCTTGGTCCTTTTGTTACCTCTGCTCGACAGAAAGTACCATCTTAAGGGATAGTTCCTTAAGTTCCAGCATGGTCAGATGCTTCAAATAGTTCTCAGTAAACTGGATAAACAAATAACAATTGTCCCGATTTGGGAACTTTTAGGGGCATTTGGGGATATCTCTTATGGTGAATTGTTCCAGGATAATTAAAGATACTTTCCTGGAGATATTTTTCTTCTGAATAACAAGTTACTTTGGGAAAATCTAACTGATCATTCTATTATGCCTTGTGATTCTTGTTAGTAAGCCCATAAAAGTATAAATAATCACAGCAAAACTGCAGACAGCAGGAATTCTAGTCACTGGCAGAGATGATGCCAAATGAGTGCAATGTGATTCCTCTGGAAGATCCAAATCCTGAAGGTGCCCTCACTACATTTTGTGGAATGTACCACCTCATATTGATATATTCAGTTGCAAAATAGTGTCATGGGGAAAACAAGACATGCAGATATTCATGGGTCTTAGGAAACCATTCATCTCTCTTACTGGAACCTGAATATTAAGTCTAGAACCTTCCCCATCCCTACAACATCCATTTACCCCATAAAGTGACCTATTTATATTGCCATTAAGCCAGCCTTAAGATTCTATTTTGTCACTAATGATTAACAGTTAGTTTCCTAGATTAAATTCATTTCCTAGATTACATTTTTAGAGAGAATATATAAGCTTGATTAAATGTCAATCCAGTAAATATTAACCTTATTCCTACTATGTGCAAATTACTCTGCTGAGTGAACTAGAGAATAAGAATGTAAGTAGTACCAAGTACCTATCTTCATGGTATTTGAAAATCTAGTGATTGGGAGCAGTGCATAAATAAGGGTAACGTAAAGAAAACTATGGCCACTTCCATAAGGTAAGCATTAAGTACTATTGCATTTTAGAAAAGGAGTGCTCACATATGAGCATCGATGTAATGCTCATAGGTGATTACTAAATAAAAGGGAGTATTTAAGATGGACTCAGAAGATAAGTAGAATTTAATGGCTAGAGATGTGCAAGGCAAAGGCATTGAGATAGCAAATCATCTGATGTTTTTAAATGCAGAGCCTGGTCCGGGTAGGCTCTAAGGATGAGTATGGGAGAGTAATAGGAGGTACAGATGCACAGGTAGGTGGTCTAGGGTTAGGGCTAGGGTTAGGGTTAGGGTTAGACTTAGAGTTACTGTGGATGGCCCTGAATGCCAGCATGGAAACTGACCTTAATCTGGTTATTAGAGGAGAGCTAATGACCATTCGTGAACAAAGGAATGGTGTGAAGCCACTGTGCTCTCGTAGGAACACACTAGCTTGGGACTGGAATATGGACTGCAGAGAGGAGGAGACAGAGGAGACTGCTAATGTGGGACTAGTGGGAAGACTATAGTAGTCCCAGCAACAGGTAACAGGGACCAGGAATCGTGTTTTTAGGAACTGAGTCGCACAGGAAGGGGGCAGAAGAGAGATGGTCACGTGCAAGTCAAGGAAGGCAAGTCAGAAAAGAGGGGATGGGCAACCAAATTCTAAGGAGAATGTTTGCAAGAAGAGGTGCCTAAAGAAGACATTTTAAAAAATTCTCCTAGATGGTCCATAAGATTTAAAATGTCACCATGTGTAAAATGGTTGCAGAATATTTTAGTTCCTTCTCTACATCAAATAATACACATTAACCATAATTTTGGATTGTATTTAATATCCACATGAATTAATATGCATGAGAGGGCAGGCTCGAAGCAAGTTCAAATTTTATCCAGACATATAACCTCAAGTTTCATACATTGCTTTTCGGTGGGACACTTCTCTTGCTCAAGTAGGTGGTAAGCTTCTGAAATGTAGATGTTCTTTTCTTCTTGTAGACCCAGAACAGTGCCGA